ATATATTACAATCTGTATATCTTTAAATTGTCCTCCTTTGGTCATGAAAAAGCATAGAATTTAAATACTGAAAATGTGTAGTAACTCTAGATTATTCAGAACTTAAGTGATAGAAATAAATAATGAAAATAATGTGAAGTGCTATTAAATGTAATTAATGCTGACATGTCAGTGCACAGTGCAGTACAGTAAACTAACTGTAAACTGTTGTATTTTTCATTTGTAGATGTTTGAAAAGAGCTTATTAACAAATAAATAAGATAAAAAATTTATTGTCAATAGAAATAGAAATTTGATTAACGTAATCTGTCAGGTGCCTCCTGTACAAAAAACAACACATATCACACAACATGAGATGAAAGAGGATTAGGGCACCGGGAAAAAAAATCTCACTTTCATCCCAAAATTCTGTGCAAAAAGGCCACATACAGTGTAGAAAACCAGAGAATTGACACAAAGTTAAAATTTAGTTTATCTATGAGCTGTGCATCAGGAAACCCCTAAGCAGTTTGTCTTTCCGTTATCTGTGAAAAGCTTAGCCAAAGTCAGAATTCTGTTTTTTTTTTTCCAGCAGCCCTAATCCTCTTTTGTATCAAGCATTTATTATAATAACTAAAAAGGCTAAAATGTGATCTGCACTGGTGAGTTCATTTATTCTTCCTCTGGTTTAGGAGTTTGATGGAAAATGGCACAAAGGAGTTCTTGTACCTGTTCCTTCTGCAACAAGGCACCTTATGAGTATAATCTGGTATATCAGATGGAAAGCTTAACTTTAATCCAGATGTAAAAGCACAATGTGAATTAATGTAAAATAAAACTGACATATTTGATTAAATGCTTAATTTATTTGATGCATTTCATACACAGTTTGTTGCTAATTGGCAAGTGGAGGTAGGCACTCGTTAAAATCGTGATATTACTCCCGTTGGGCTCTATAAACTGCCCCCAGATTGTGTCGTGCTTTAAAACTGTCTCCACTAAAGAGGAAACCAGTCTGTTGTGTCTAATGGGAGCTTTGTCCCAAAGGTAAAGGCAGCTGATGTCTGAGAGGCATCGTGTTTGCCTTCAGAGAGCTGTTCAAGCGACCTCCAGAAATGAATACTGAAGATTTGCCTCTGTGTGTGCGTGTGTGTTTAGAATCTGCAGATAGATTACGACAAGCAAACCGAGCAACTGGATAAGGAGCGAGAGAAGGTGGAGGTGGCGGAGAGACAGATTGCTGAGCTGACCAAACGACTCAGCAGTGCTGTCACACAGGTAACTGGGATACACACTCAATCACACACACATTACAGCGAGCCAACAGACAAAATGCTCTCAGCATCCAGTAAATCTAAGCAGCGAGACTTTATCCAGCAATGCCTATAGCATAACTCAGTTTCCATGTGATTTACAAGGAGTCATTCTAGCCAGCGACACTTTACCCAGATAAATCTGGCAGGCGGGCGCCCACGAATAGCCCATCAGATGTGACTGGGTGAGCAAGGGAGAAATTGTTTTTATATATACACTCCTTTCACCAAAGCTCATAACTGTCTCTTTCCAGTGAGAGAACAGGCGAGTAAATGGAGCAGGGTATAACCTCCATCTGTTGTGTGCGAGTGCGTTTTCTGAGACGCAGTTTTATTCTCATAAGTGCTCTTGGTTCTCGAGGGGTTTAGCTAGTTAGGGATCTTAGAGTGTACATCGTCTCCGCTTATCCACCGTGCAGTCGGTGTTCGGCTGACAGCTGATTGGAGAGAGCTGCCGCCCGATGCCGTTCGACTGTTCTGTCTAGAGAAAACCCACAGAGCCCGTTGCTGTCAGATTCGCATGGATGATTTTCAGAAGTGTCACGTGTGTTTTGAGCTGGTTTGGTCCACAAGCACATTTGCTACAGAAAACCATGCTAAAGAAAGAAATAAAAATAAAAAAATCATTTTTTAAATAACATTTGATTGTATCATTTCATTGATTTAATTACATCCAGCGTGTTTCTGTCTGAGGTTTAAATTAATCTGACAGAAATTAAAGAAGTGCATTTCTTGTCACTTCAGACGGAAACWCTGAGCAGTGAGAAAGAAAACCTGCTGGCTGCTTTGGAAACCACGAGGAGCACGCTGAGGCAGCTGGAGGCCAAGAACCAGGAYATGCAGAAACAGCTAGCAAATCTGGACAAAGACCTTCTGGTGGAGAGATCAATGAAGGAACAAAAGCTTAAGGTAGACATTTTAAATGTAAACCTCTCATATGTGCACTTATTTATTTCATGTCATTGAAGCGAACAGAACTAGAAACACTTTCTTGCCTCAAAAGGAATTGTTGTCTGCCACGAAGGAGGTGGAGGAGCTAACGGCACAGCTCCGCAAGCAGCAGCAGCAGTCTCAGCAGAGCGCTCAAGAGCTGGAGCAGCTTCGCAAGGTACCCAAACACTTGAGTGCTTCTCAGACTGCAGTGTGTCTCAGAGGGCTTATCCAGTCAAGAGGCTGAGCTGGTGATGGCCGGCCTGGAGCTACGGTGGCACCTCACAGAGAAACAGAGAGCAGCTTTAACCCACAGAAAAGGAGCTGCTGTTACTTTTCCATTAGTGGAGACCTACATATTACAGCAGTGTACACGAATGATGCCCGCAGGTTCGGCTTTGTCTTGTGTCCACTTTACTAATTCATCCAGAGAAACAGAAACTTTAAGGCTGATTCTTCTGGGCTTTTCTTTAAATAATGGTACAAGATGTGCTATTTATTTTTGTGRYAACGGTCACAGAAAGTAATATTTGAGTACTGGGCACTTATGGTGTGTGTAGTGTGCTGTGTTTTGCTACCAGTTTGTTTTTCAGTCATGTTTTTAATCTTCTGCTTCACATGTTTGACCGTTTAGTCAAACATGTGACCATACAGGCMTAATCATGTATTTCCTATAAGTGGGTGAGTATTTATCTGCCGTAACAGAAATATCATGTACATTATTTGTAGATTATGCTTTCAGATTATGTATAAAGAAGAACTCATCTAGAGCAGTGGTTCCCAAACTTYTCAGCTTTTGACCCACAAAATAAAATTAGCAGAGACCTGTGCCCCCAGCTATTTTTGGATGATAAACATTTGTATCAGGTCAACTAAACAATAGTTAATATTAATAGTAATAATATTTTTATACTACATTTATCCATTTTAAATACACTAACCTCACTCCTTTGTAACAACTAAGGCAAAAATGTAATTAATTCCAAAAATCTTTTCAGGACCCCACCTTGATTTTTCAGGACCCCACTTTGGGTCCCTACCCCAACTTTGGGAAGCACTGGTCTAGAGGACCTATTTTAATTTTATTTTTATTTTTGGCAAATAGACACTTAAATATCCCCCATTAATGGGATCAAGTCTCAGTTAAACTTCTTTAAATGGGGTGGTATTCGGTCTTTTCTAAGSAAAGTTCAATTCTATACCATAATTAAGGAACAATATTACAGTTGTTATGAAAATGCTGTATATATCAAAAATAAGTTTGACTTTGCATCATAGCCTTGAAATTGGCCTCTGTCTCTTTAAGAACCTTCAACCATTTCTGACATTCCCACTTCAGCACGTTTTCACAACAATGCTTCGGGKAGGGGTGCTCTGTGGGGCGGGAGCTCGGCTGCAGACTGAKCTCCAGGGWGGAGCTTTGTACCAGCAGCTCCACATGGCTACCACAGGAGATTCAAGGATYTCTCAAACATGAATGAGTCGAAGCAAAACTGATGAGGGAGTGRCATTATAACATGACATAAAGCTTAAAAAAATCTATTTTGCTTGACTTTTAAACATTTGACATAAATAATCAAGTATTTTTTTCTGTTTTGTGAATATTTTGATTATTAGCCACACTTTGCTTTAATTTTCCCAATTTACAGGGAGTTTTTATCTTATCTACACCTCCTCACTGTCTTGSTTTAATATGTGTGCCACTAGGAGGCCCAGCAGAACTCCCTGCTGGACATGGAGATGGCCGACTATGAACGCCTGGTGAAAGAACTAAATGGCAAACTCACTGAGAAAGACCAGTATGAGGAGGAGTTAAAAGCACAGATTGGCACCCTCACCCAGAAGCAGGAGACGCTCAGGGAGGAAATCGGTACGAATTGCGTCTTTGGGTTGTATTGTTTGTTTTTCTTCCCCCAGATTAATAAATCATCATTTCAGTAGCAGTGTACGTTTACTCTTACTTTTTTTTCCACACAAAAAAATGTATCATCTGAGCATGACTACACCATTTAATAAATTTATTGAAGGGTTTAGAACTACRAGTTTGTTTTCACAGATTCCTAATAATGTACTTCCTATCACGTTCACAAACCTGTTCTGTTTGGACACATATATTTAGAATTTTCACTGTTCTATCAATCAGGTTGTGTAGCGGCATCAAAATGACAGATGACTGTATAAATATTGCTGAATCTCTTMGTGTAGAATCTGCCTTGCCGCTTGTGTGCACATGTCTGATATTATGTGTGTCTCCAGAGGCTTTGAAGTCCCAGCTGGACCAGGAGGGAGAAAAAACCATGAAGATGAAACAGCTGCTGGTGAAGACCAAGAAAGACTTGGCGGATGCAAAGAAACAGGTCTGTGTGTGCGTGTGTGTGCATCCCAAAGGATTCCTTATTACTGTGTAACATTGCTGCCTTATGAATGTAAATATTGTTATGCAGTCATGTGTACACGACTGTGAGGAAGGCCTTGAAGATATTGAGAAGAGTTGACCATTTGTCTGTGCTGACACTCTTTCATATGTGTGTGTGTGTGTGTTTACACATGCAGGAAAGCTCCCTGCTGATGGTGCAGGCATCTCTGAAAGGAGAATTGGAGGCTATCCAACAGCAGCTCGAAAGCTCTAAGGTAGCAAACAGAACTTTCCATAAATAAACCCCTCGCTGCTTTTACTCTTAATTAAAATACAGAACATATTAAGTTTTTGCTCACGGATATCGATGTGTTTGTGTTTAGATTGAGGTGTGTGACCTGACCGCCGAGCGCCACCGTCTGCAGGAGCAGCTGAAGTCTGCGCTGGAGCAGCAGCAAAGAACCAGCAGCTCCCTGCAGCAACGTATCCATAATCTGCAGCAGGAAAGAGACACGGCGAAGGTACTTTATTTTTACGTTTAAATATAAATATTCTCTCCAACATCTTTTCTGGGAAGGAATAATAACGGTGGACTGCTTCACAAAATAACACAAGCAGTAACCTTTGTGGTGCTGAAGCTAAATGAGGCATTTTCCTGAAAGTATCGTCTCATACTCACGAGGCAGGATTGATAAATGGTGCTGCAAGTAATGACTATTTTCATTATTTATCTCTCAATTATTTTTAATTAACTCTCAAATCTTTACATCAACAGTATTTCCAAAAGGGCATTTTTCATGTTCCAAGTGCTCGAGGTGACAGATGCTAATAGCCTGCTTGTATGACGATCAATTCAAGAAAAACTGAAAGTTGAAAATAGATTAAAGGGAYAGTGAGATCTTGATTTAAGCAAGATAGACTGAAACTATTACCTGCAATTAATTACCTTCTGTATTAGCAGGTTGAACCTAGTGTTTTTAACTGAGTTCTGTACAGATCAGTGTGCAAATTGATGACATCACAACTACAGTAAGAYTCGATGCTGTGGCATTTATTGCTCACCTCTGCTCTGTGTGTTTGTTATTTCCAGGCTGAGCTTGTGGCGACAACAAGCGAGTTTGAGAGTTACAAGGTGCGCGTGCACAACGTCCTCAAACAGCAGAAGAACAAAACCAGTGCCCAGAGTGAGTCCGATTCCGGCAGACTGGAGAGGTGAGAGCAACACTGAAGTAAAGAGGTGTTGCAATAAGAGAACATGACTGTTTAATGCACGTAAGTTGCAGATTATAGAAATGTGCCCACTGTGTGCGTCAGGATAATTGACATCTGGGGTACTACCAAATGTTGAACAGAGGTGTCACTACTTACCCCTAATTTACTAAATGCGGTTCCGCTTCGATCCAGTCCGGTCCAACCTCCGCAGCAAGTACAAAACCATTATAATCAAAGAGAGCACAGTGTCGGTGAGTGGACGACGATTTGCCAAAATTAGATTTGATCCTATTTTTGTTGGAGTCAATCTACAAAGATTATGTCACGGATGTTGTGTTCCTTCCTTTACGTGATGGTGTGACATGATCTTTGTAGATTGACTCCAGCAAAACTTTTCAAAATAATTCACCAAAGGCAGACTAACTTTATGGAAATCCCAGCTATATTATTAATATATGGATATAATTATACACAAATGCTGTCCAAATGTATTGTTCTGCCTGGGAAGCAGATGGCAACATGTAGCTTGCAGCACATGTTTATTTTGAAATCAGAAGTTTCAAAAAGACGACAGCGATGCAGTTTCAACTTTGTTTGGAGTCCGTCTTCCACAGAATTAATTATTTTGCTCTGACTTACACATTTATCACTGGATTTATCGCGGTATTTTCTACACATTTCTCGGACCTCTGTGCTTTGCACCGCAGCAGAACGAAGCGGAACCGCCTCTAGTGTAAACTAGGGGTTACTCTCAAAATACCCAACATAAATTCWTAATGGATGTGTAACAACAAATCGGAGTATTGTCTAAACGTAATGAGAACATGTGATGTGTTCTTCAGGCAGCAGTTGTCGTCTCAGGTTGAACAGCTGAGAATCAGGCTGACAGAGAGTCAGCAGAGCCTTCAGAGCAGCACAGCAGAACTGCAGCAGCTCCAGACTGAACACGACACTCTGCTGGAGAGACACAACAAAATCCTTCAGGAAAATGTGGCCAAAGAGGCAGAGCTGCGGGAGAGGTGTTTTTATTATTATTATTTTTTTTTTATTCCGTCTAGTCTTAATTTTATTTTGCTACTCTTTTATTGACATTTGTTTTCAGTCTTCCCATATGTCTCTCTGTTGCTTTTAATTTTCTGTTATTTGGCGAGTTTAAGTATGAGATGAATGCTGTGGATAACAGATTGTTATATTAAGCAGCTTGTAAACTTTTTCATTCACTCTCGTCTCCGCCTCCAGGCTTTTGTCACTGCAGTCGGAGAACGTGGCCCTGCGGTCCGACCTGTCGCAGACCCAGACGGATCTGTCTTCCCAGGTCGAGGCCCAGCGGCAGACCTACAGGGAGCAGCTGAGGAAGCTGCAGGACGACCACCGAGCCACCGTGGAGACCCTGCAAGGACAACTGACCCGAGTCGAGGAGCAACTCTTCAACCTGCAGAGCCAAAACAGTAAGCATCAGCAGGCCTAGGTAACATACCAGCTGYAGACCTGTAGCTGTCTGGGGTCTAAATAAACTAAAATGATACAGAAAGTGGTACAAAGCTTAACAGACAGCAGTAACTTCAAAGAGAATCCTATAAAGAGGTCCTTCAGAGCATCAAGTAGTTTACAGTGATGTATCGTCTTTGCTGTTCCACTCATTGAGAGGAATGATGGGAGACGGAAAGTAAACCAGGGAGGGGATATGTGTGTGTTTATGAGTGAAGCAGCTCTGAGAGCTCATTCATCACCTCCCACACAGCTGCCCTCCAGAGTCAAACAGCAAAAAACACACAGTAATGACCAAGAAAAGGCGAGCGTGTTTTTTTTTTTCTCTGTCACGTCAGCATGGCCAGGTGTTGGCAGGGCTCCTCAGCCACGTCCCCGCCTCACCATGAGGCGAACGACTCCCTGTGGCATCTGGAGGGACTCGTCATTAGTGGTTCACACATGGATGCCTGGATCAGCCTGTTCTGTGGGTGTGGAGGGGGGGCAATATCCACATCTTTAAGGTTGTTTTTGCCTCTTTTCACCACTGTATTTAAATTATTTGCAGCTAAATTTCAGGCTGATTTAGCATCTGTGTGCCGGCCCTGTTAGACAGAAGGGTCATAAAACTGCTGGCTTCAACAGTGACACTGATTTGTGTTTGTCATTCTCATTTTAATTTAGTCGTTGACCTTGAAGTGGCACATAAACATAGATCAAATCCTTTAAGACTTTAAAGCTAAAAGAGTGATTTATCCAGATTTTGGGATCTTAATTTTTCTGTAAATTAATATTCTTTTTTTTTCAGTTTTTGTAAACATTCCACTTCTCACATCTTTTAATTTAAAAAGAAAGGTGTCCATTATTTCAAGAGCTGAATACAAAATAGTGTATATATTCTTTTAAATAAGCTTTGTTTTGAAATGTTCCCGTAATAGTGCCAAATTTATTGTTCTGAGGCCCTCTACTGGCCAAACTTCATATAGCTATTACTGCTAGACCACAAAATGTATTTTTTTCTAAATGTAATGCAAATTTTAAGGTAATTCCTTTCTTCTTTTTTTAAACTCAGACTCTGTACTGGTCCAGTCCAGTCGTAAGCCCCTGGCCTCAGACCTTCAGCGCAGGAACACTGATCAGAACCAAACAGGGTTGGGAGTAGTGGCTTTCAACGACCTTCAGTCCATGGCCAGGGAGGAGGGAGAGGGTATGGAGACCACGGAGACGGAGAAWTCCTCCCCAGCTCTTACACCCCTGCCCTCTCTGGAGCAGCTTCTCACGGCTCCAGACCCCAAACAAGGTGTGTTTGAAGCAACAGGTGCATTTATAATCATTTGAGTTTATTGAAACCTGAGCAGAATGAACAGTATACCATTTTTGAACACAAGCAAACTGCAATATTACAGTGATTTTAATCAGAACATTGTTTGAGAATAAAAATGTTTTTTTAATAGTATAAGTAACAGCGTTTACTGTCATTTAAAACACGTTATTTAACCAAGGCAGGTTTTTAAACTAGCATGTGGCTTTGGTTGCATCTCCAGAGCCTTTTGTGTGGACAGTGGAGCCAACCAAAGAGGAGCTATCTGAAAAGCTGAGCACAGCCACTCGCAGCATGGAGCACATGAACAGCCTCCTGCATGAAACTGAGGCCACCAACGCTGTTCTCATGGAGCAGATCACAGTATGTTTAATCAAGTTAACATTCACCCGATTAAAGGCAAACTATGTTTTTATGTGTTTGTGACCAAGATATGGATTACTGGACACATTTTGATGGATTGTTTAGGGATGTTGACATTTCKTCAGCAGCTGCTGCCATTTTCTTTCCAAACTGCTGTGACCAGATTTTGCAAGGCTGCTCGGTGCATTTGCTTATAATTTCCTCCTGCTTTGTTATTTCTACGAGTTTCAACAAAGCGCACTGATGTCGGGTAGTTAGCTACAGCCTCATCTTTGAGTTTTTAATTTTTCTTGATGCGTTTTGAAGAGACAGTTTTTTGAAAAGAGGATCAAAGTTAGCCTGGCCCTTGCCTTCCTACGCAGCTCTGCTCAATTCTTGTTTCCCTTCACTGCTTCGTCTGGGACTTCTCCCATTGAGATGGATTTCGCTGGCAGATTTTTAGCCGGGCCAATCAGAGAGCAGAACGTCAATTTTCTGCGCAGCGTCTGCTTGTAGTTTATTTTACCTGGGCCAATCAGAGAACAGAAGGTGGAGTTTTTGAATGACATCGATGTTCTGCGCAGTGTCTGCTAGTTATTTTAGCATACGGCAGTGGAGGAAGTGAATGAAGCCAGTCCGTGTTGATAAGGCTTCTAAATTAAAATAAATTTGTCTGACAAAACCTTCAGCTCTCATTTACAGTCGTCTCGTTTAGCGCGGAACTTTTCTCCTCTCAGTTGGGTTGTTTACAGCACACGCGATTTCCGGTTAGCTTCTTAGCTTAGCCTCCTTCACAACGACAACACACTCATAGGCCACGCCTCCTGCAAGAAATCGATTCTCTATGCATCAAGTCCAGACCCTTGTACGAAGTCAAGTGAAGGACAGGGTCTGGTTTAAACCAAAGTAAATCACCCGAGTTTTTTTAGTGACCCCTTAAATAGATAAGCTGCCATGAAGAATGTTACTTTATCTGTCCTTGTTCAAAATTTGATGATTTGAAACATCAAAGTATGTTTTTTTAAGTGCGGAATAGCGCTTGTTGCAAAGTGTTTTGATGCTCGTCTTCGTCATTTGACGCATTTAACACGCCGTCATTGGTTGAGCAGCCTTGTTTACAAAACAGATGTCCACATGGTTTTTAAATTGTTTTAATTTCCTTACTTTCTAAGACAATTAAGTTGATTTGATGCTGTAGTTTGCCTTGTAATTGTATTTTATACCTTTTCTGCTTCTTTTGAATTGGCTATTTATTAAGTTTTTTAGGATGTCTAAAAACCAGAATGTGAATCTTTTCCTAAAATTTCATGGCGATTATCTTGAACACTAAGGAAGTTATGAGCAAAAATAGAAAAGAGCAAGGTGAAATGGTCACAAAGACCCCCATTGGTTCTGCTGTGAACTGCAGGAAGAAAACATGAGCTGATTTCACCTAAACAAACGTCAATAACTTCCCTCATGCTTGAGATAATCACAGGATTTTGGTGTTTTTTTGTATGGTTTGAAATGTTTTTTTGGAATCAGCTGTCAGATTTAATATTGGTGTAGGATTAAAAATTTATCAACATTCCTAGATTGTGCAGCAGATGTCAGCACCTCAGCCGTGTTTGATGCAATTTCAAATGAGCCCAAATTTGAGTTCAGATATTTTATTTGCCTGAAGAAAAACAACCAAAGCTCAGTTTGAGGAAGAGCAGAGCCTATAACAGTTTTTCCCAGCTCTTTAACAACATATTAAAATGCCCTGTATGCTCCCACGGTGACATCAAACAGCCTGGTGTTGTTAATGATCCCTTCTTTGTCCAGAAGAAAGTACAATCTGTATCCTTTGATTTTGAGAGGGATGAAGGAGGGAGATTCTTCTCTGTGGGCGTGACAAGCCACCTGGGACAGAGGGACAGTCATGGTCCTGCCTCGGCCTGGACCCAGAGGGGATTGTGTGCAGACTGTCACCATCCTCCCACCCTTATGTAGGACCACCTTATTGACAGATCGCCGGCAAAACAGAAGTCCAAGCCCGACTATCCCCGCACCTATAACCAGGCATCCCAGGGTGAAGCCGTATCTCCAGGCGTTTGAGCCCAAGTTCATCTCGAAGCTCCATATCCCGGCCAGTCCCGTGGTGGTGAGAGCTCTAGCTTTCCCTTTAGTTCCGCCCGTGTCTTTGAGCCCGGTGTAAGCGAAGTGAGACATATACGTCCAGAAGATAAACTGTCCTCCACAGAAGGCCGACAGAAGCCGGAAGAAGCGGGTTTTGTCGTGCTCGAACAGGGTGACGTCCTTGGAGGCCAGGGTGGAGGTGCAGAAACTGCGGCGGGGTGCAAGCACCTGGCGGCCTGGGTTGGCAAATACCCAGGAGAACAGTCCAGAACCGCCAAAGAGCCGGGTGGACACGCTGCTGGTCGACTTGGACGCGAAGAGTCGAACTTTCTGCTGAATGTTACCGAGTCGAAACYGACCGGAGTATCGCTCCAGAGCTCCGCACAGAAGACGCTCGAATCCCATCTTTCTCCGTAAAAGTCTCTCTGAGACGATGTGACGACAAAAATACGACGGTCTAGATACATAAACTGTGTTATAAACTCACGTTTCTTTCCTCCTCGCTAGACTTCTCTACGAGAGGGCGCCGCCATATTGCTTGTWGTAAAATGTCGCGAGATCGAAAAATATCGCGAGATTTGATTTGCTGTATAATCGTTTTTATTTCAGAAAATAAAAAAAGATTAAATAGTATATTGTACTCAAATAAAACAAAAAAGTCTCTAAAAATTTTGTGAATTAAAATGTTGCTTATGTAACAACTATCTTAATATTAAACAATTAGCTATCTTTGTAATGTAAACTGAGGTTTCTGACAGTTTGTTTTTCTTTTAACTCTCAACCACATAACATGGAAGAAAGACATTGACATTTATTATATACAATTTGTATTACTCTGTTTTCAAAAGGTGCAACATATTTATTTCCAAAATGGTTGTTATTCTGTAAGATACAAATTCTGCCATTTCTTTGTATTTTCTGATAATTTGTCTGCAGTTGGGCCTTAATTTATAGCCTTTCTTTGGCAAATTAAAAATCCTATTTGTGTTTTATTTCAATGTTTTAATTTTACAAATTTTTACTTTTAAGTCAATCTACAGGTCCTTCTCAAAAAATTAGCATATTGTGATAAAGTTCATTATTTTCTGTAGTGTACTGATAAACATTAAACTTTCATATGTTTTAGATTCATTGCACACCAACTGAAGTAGTTCAAGCCTTTTATTGTTTTAATATTGATGATTTTGGCAAAAAAGTAAAGAAAAACCAAAAATCCCTATCTCAAAAAATTAGCATATCATGAAAACGTTCTCTAAATGACTTATTAACCTAATCACCTGAATCAATGAATTAACTCTAAACACCTGCAAAAGATTCCTGAGGCTTTTAAAAACTCCCAGTCTGGTTCATTACTCAAAACCACAATCATGCAGACTGCTGACCTGACTGCTGTCCAGTAGGCCATCATTGACACCCTCAAGCAAGAGGGTAAGACACAGAAAGACATTTCTGAAMVAATAGGCTGTTCCCAGAGTGCTGTATCAAGGCACCTCAGTGGGAAGTCTGTGGGAAGGAAAAWGTGTGGCAGAAAACGCTGCACAACGAGAAGAGGTGACCGGACCCTGAGGAAGATTGTGGAGAAGGACCGATTCCAGACGTTGGGGGACCTGCGGAAGCAGTGGACTGAGTCTGGAGTACAAACTTCCAGAGCCACCGTGCACAGGCGTGGGCAGGAAATGGGCTACAGGTGCCTWATTCCTCAGGTCAAGCCACTTTTGAAACAGAAAGAGCAGCAGRTGCACCTGACCTGGGCTACAGAGAAGCAGCACTGGAYTGTTGCTCAGTGGTCCAAAGTACTTTTTTCAGATGAAAGCMAATTTTGCATGTCATTCAGAAATCAAGGMKCCAGAGTCTGGAGGAAGACTGGGGAGAAGGAAATGCCAAAATGCCTGAAGTCCAGTGTCAAATGCCCACAGTCAGTGATGGTCTGGGGTGCCATGTCAGCTGCTGGTGTTGGTCCACTGTGTTTTATCAAGGCCAGGGTCAATGCAGCTAACTTTCAGATTTTGGAGCACTTTATGCTTCCATCTGCTGAAAAGCTTTATGGAGATGAAGATTTCATTTTTCAGCA